CTTCACGTGCTCTTTTATCTCCAGCAGCGGCTGCTGTGTTAACAATTTAAAATCACTGCATAGGTGAAAAACATATTCCTGACAAGTCTGATGAATTTTCACAAACTACTGTACAAAAAGAAATTTAATACCGTGTTAGATGCAGTCACACTATTGAAATAAATGTCTGCCTGCCTGCTACGATGACGTGGAATCATGAAGAAACTTACAGTATCTGATTGTTTTATTATGTCCGTGGACATTAAATGCCTATCTTGGAAGTGCAGAAGCACCTCTGACTGCTGCACTTATAGAAAAACAGCACCTTTTGGATGCTCTGAATGTCTCAAATACAGATTTCTTTAAAAAAAAAAAAAAACCAATGATTTGAGAACTTATAAAACTACTATCAGACAAATTCATGTCCAAAAACCCAGGCTTTATTTGCTCCCCTCCACTAATAACCCCTAAGACTGAGAGTTTTATGGGATAATAAATATTAAATTATTTCATAGCAATATGGCCTGTAGAAAGTTTGCACCTAGCCTTCTCCTAGAAGAATGAAATATTCTAGGACAGTGGTCGCCAAACGGTGGGCCACGAGAAAATGTTGGTGAGCCGCAGAGAAATCTCACCCCCAGAGCACCCGCACAAAGCAATTAAATCCAGGCTGCGGAGAAACACAAGGCTGCGCTGCCCACATGGTCCACAGGAAATCTCCCCGCTCACTCACTCCTTATCTGGCAAACTTGCCTGCTAAATTGCTATTTTTCCTTTTTCCAACCATCAGGTGTTCTGCTGTGCCAGGAGATTTAGATTAGCTAGAAAGCAGGAAATGGTTGGATTTCTTGCTTTCTAGTCTTTAGATCTTCGACTCTGTTTTTAAGCATAGCCGAACCTCCCTTAGGACTGAAGGTTTTATTATTCAGTGCAGACTCACAGCAAGCAAATTTTATGTGGCAGACTGAGCTAGCCGATGGCAGATAGATAGATCACTGAACGATTCTATGAGCAACTCAATCTGCCTGCCTGCTTTGCCTGATTTTGGATAAAAGTTGTTCTTTTTTTAAATAAAAAATTCAATATTTACATACATGGTGTGTTGTGAGTTAATTTTGTGAGTTTACTTGCAAGCAAATTTTATGTGACAGACTGAGCTAGCCAATGGCAGATAGATAGATCTCTGAATGAATCTGTGATTCTGTGAGCAACTCAATCTGCCCGCCTGCTTTGCCTGATTTTGGGTAAAAGTTGCTCTTTTTTTAATAAAAAATTCAATATTTATATAAATATAATATTTACATACAAGCCATGCCCAGCCAGTCACATGACCACCAAGCCACAGCCACAAATTAGGCAATGCCCACAGAACTGGTTAGTGGTTCCTGGGATTTAAAATTATGAGTTTGGTGGTCCCTGAGGTCCAAAAGGTTGGCGACCCCTATTCTAGGAAATATTAAAAAGGCAGAATATTATACCTCCCTGGATGAGAAAAGGAGAAACATGATTTTGGAAAGCAGCCCTCCCCTTTTTTAATAGCCCCAGAAAGATTGAGCCATCCTATCTACAAGACAAAAGGCCTTCAACTCCAGGGTGATAGGATTAGCCCTCACTCAAGATCCAAACCAGGACAAAGCCATTGAGCCATAATAGGAATTGCCCAACACCCTTTCAAAATATAAGCCTCTTCATTGCATCACCCAGCACAGTTCAACCAAGCTTATCTCAGACAAACACCTAGGATTTGCACATGACCTCTACAGCAGCCAATAGGATACCTGCCCTTTCCACAGGAACAGGAAGCTCTAGGGCAAGGCCCAAGAGAGGGTATGAATATATCTCTCTCTCCACTCTATGTGTTCAGCTACCCAGAATCACACGTGCTTGGTGGTTCTGCTTCTCCATTAAACAATCCTTCCAAGCAGTCTCCATATTTCCAGTGTCTTTCTCCCCACTTGGAACTGAACCCAGATGGACATTTCTTCCAACAGGGCACTCAGATCTTGTAATTTGGAGTCTCACAAATAACTTCTATTACTTTACATTATCACATGGTCTTCTCCATGCTACAAAAATTCCAAGGGTAGTATAAAGCCCCCCCTACCCTTTATAAAGCTGTGGCTTCTTCAACTCTGATGGTCATTTGTATACTACTCTAGCAATGATGCCATAAAGAAATGGGCAGAACCCATAGAACATTTTCAGTCAGTAGCACTTTTGAACAAACTGAAACTTTTGAACAAACACACAAAAAGACATTATCTATATTATTGGATATTTCAGTGCAAAACTGGGAGAAATGGAAGAAACAGGGATCACAGGCAAGTTTGGCCTTGGTGAATGAAATGAGACAGGAAAACATCTGATTCAGTTAAGCACAATGAACATGTGGTTTGAATAACACAAGCGGAGATTATATACTAGGACTTCACCAACTGGAGAATATTGGAACCAAATCGAGTACACATTAGGTCAAAAGAAGTGTAAAAGTTCCATCCTCGCTGTGAAAACATTCCCTGGTGCAGATTGTAGATCAGACCACGAACTATTACCTGCCAAGGAAAAGTTCAGGTGTTGCAGTGTCAAATGACAACACAGGATTCAAAAATTTGAAGCCAAGAACAGATTTAAACATTTGGAAGAACTGCAACATCCAGCATGAATAACATCTAGAAGAGTAAAGTCATCAGCCTCACAACTAAATGTAGATTAGTTAATTTTTAGTTAATTTTTTTCAAATTGCTACTTATGGCTGTGAAACTTGGGCTCTGAAGAAGGCAGATCGGAGAAGGGTAGACACCTTTGAACTGTGGTGCTGGAGGTGACTATTACAAACCCCATGGATTGCAAATATAACAAAGAAGTCCAAGACCAAACCTCGCAAAAAATATCACTTGAAGGTAAGATCACCAAACAGAGGCTGTCATACTTTGGTCATGTCTGACTCATTCAATAAGTCAATCAACATCTTCTTTTAATGACCCCTTGTGGGCGGAGTCTGGGGTAACTGAATGGAGCTAGCAGTGTTTTAATGGCCGGATGCCCTTCCTATCACCAATGCAGTTTTCTCAATGTATCCGATATATATAGCAGATATATTCTCAATGTATCCAGAGAGAGAAATAGCAATAGACTTACATTTATATACCGCTTCATAGTGCTTTATAGCCCTCTCTAAGTGGTTTACAGAGTCAGTATATATTGCCCCCAATGATTTTGGCTCATTTTACCCACCTCAGAAGGATGGAAGGCTAAGTCAACCTTGAGCCTGGTGGGATTTGAACTGCCAAACTGCAGGCAGCCGACAGTCAGCAGAAGTAGCCTGCAGTACTGCACTCTAACTACTGTGCCACCGAGGCTCATATCTGCCTCTACCTAGAATCAAACTCACAACCTCCTGATTGTGAAGCGAGAGCTCCACCTCTAGGCCACCTCACCACTTCCAGTCAATCACGCTGAAAGTGATCAGCGGAAAAAGGAGAATGGGCCATTCTAGTACCTGTTGGTTGGATACTACAGTATAAGGGATGACACCAGGATGATTATGGCAGATCTGTAGGAAGTGGTGCAAGACAGAAAGGCAAGGACAGTGCTTATCCACAGAGTGGCCAAGGGTCAGACACAACTGAACGGTTGACAATGATGAGTATAAAGGAGGATGACCCGAAGGTCAGTTGTTAGCCTCTAACACAGGTCAACTTGAAGAAAGGACATTTTATTCTGGGAAAATTCAAGAGAATTGTTGAATGCTATCCACCCTCCACAAGCTGCAGTTCGATCCCTGCATTTGCAACATGCTGGAAAACAGCCAAAGACCTTGGTGTCATTAGCATATATCAAAAAGTCAAGATGGCAGCCCTGATAATGGGATTGAACCTCCAATTGGCTTTGATGTACATCCTGTCAACTCAAAAATATTTCTCTGGTCTTTTAGAGAAGACCAGCAGAAAGGGAGTGGGGGAAGTAGTGCATTCCTTAAATGTTTTCATAGATAATTGCTAGGCGGCCGAAGCTTCTGGCGCGCAAGATTATTACTGGAGAGCATGATTGATGACTCTTGGCTATGGATGTGTCCCATTGGAGAATATACATCCGGGGGGTGGGGGAAGACCAGAGTCAAGGGTGTGATGAATGATGTGTTTCAGAATCAGCTGCACCCAGGTAACGCTGGCATGTTCACTCCTAATAATTGATTTTTTAAAACTCTGAGAAATGTGACTAGAGACTCATGATTTGAATGGGGCCCTTGAATGGAGCCCTGACACATCCGTGTATTAAAAACGCAGAATTTTGGTGGCGCCACACTTATTTTTTTTGACTGTTTGATATCCCTAGGGTCATCTCTGGTGGAGAAAGATGAGAGAGCATGGGGGGAAAAACAGAGGGTGGAGGAAAAGTTTCAGTTGGCCACCAAGTTCCTTCAAATTATTTCAGGCCAATGTGAGGCAAAGACACATCCCCCAAGGGAATGCATTATTCTAGCTCTGGAAATGTCATTTGGATACAGAAGGATTTTTTAAATTATGCTGGGCCCACTTTTAACAAACTTGACACATCAAAACTAGGTTCAGAATGTATGCATAGACAATTTCCACAGGCTTATGCACAGCTATCACTTCTGCTGGATTCTGAGGTATCCAATTTCTGAATAATGGAGTATAACATATTAATCAATTTAGAAAATTGAAGCAAACAAAATTGAGTACGGTGGCTTTTAAAATCTAAATTAACAGTTCCTGTTTTTAATAATCCTTTGTTTGTGTGGGTCTTGGAACTGTCACTGTAATTGTTTTCTGTTTTCACAGGTAAGTGGATGTTGAGAAAATTAATAGCCTCAACCTAGTGAAAACTGTCTTCACCAGACACTACTAGTTTCCATACTATCAGCTTTAGAAGATTGCCGATGAAGTGTTAACCAATAGGATGAATTTATAAGGTTTTATTAACTTCAAAATTAATAAATTTTGCTAACGATTCTTCAAGTTGAAGGGTGATTTCCCTTCACCCCCCCCTTCTTTTTCTTATTGCAGGAATGCTCTGAGGAATTCATTGTAGGAGATTTTGGAAGTTAAGTTTTTGTCATAATATTCCAAAATGTGAAAAAATTCCTCTTCAGAGAGATTGATTCCATATTTTCGTAGCACCTGCAGAAGAGATAGAAACAGGATATAGATCTAATCTTTATTTACCATCCAGAAAATTTTGTAGCAGAGAATCAAAGTGGAACGCTATTTGTTTAAGCACAACCAATTCAGAACATTTGACATAATTTCCACTCAGGAGACAACTTGGCTTTATGGTTGCTGTTCTGATCAGAGAACCAGCTAATTTGGTAATTAGGCCAACATGGGGTATCACAATTCAATGACTCTGACAACCCATGTCTCAATGATGGATTAAAATGGGTTTTCCTTGGAAATGATAGCTTTCTTAAACAAAAGCACGACTAAGACAGCAATGGCCAGAATTTGTCAGCCACACACATCCCAGGCAGGTTTCCCAAACATTGCAAGCTATCACTTCCATTTTTCAATCCCAAATCCACCTCTACTTCCCCAAGAAGGAATCTATACTGCTATATTAAGATAGGCATTTTCTTTTTGGTTTAAATTAAAGGCAGTCCTAGACTTACGGCTGTAATTGAGCCTGCTATTATGGTCATAAGTTATGGCGATTGTTAAGCAGGTCATCACATGATCATGCCTGATTTTATGATACATTATTTTGTGCCCAGTTAAGTAAATACAGAATTGTAAAACGAATGCCATGGTTGTTAAGCCAATCCATTGTTCACTATGGGGCATTTTTTGCTGGAAACGAAGTAAAATGGCAAAAAAACCTGTTGTAAATCACAGTCACATAGCAGTGGGACACTGCTAACAGCAGCTAGTTGCTGAACGTCTAAAATGCAGTCAAGGGACTGGGGGAGGCATCCAAACTTCAAATGCAGGTAAGTGATAAGTAGCTTTATTTATTTATTTATTTGTCAATTGCTTACAAGATAATAGGTATAAGTAAAAACATAGTTATGAATACATGGATACATATAAGAAAAATAAATAAAAAATAAAAAATAAAAGAAACAATAGGACAGGGATGGTAGGCACATTGGTGCGCTTATGCACGCCCCCTACAGGCCTCTTAGGAAAGGGGTGAGGTCAATAGTAGACAGTCTAAGGTTAAAGTTTTTGGGGTTTGGGGAAGAAACCACAGAGACAGGTAGAGTATTCCAGACATTGGCCACTCTGTTGCTGAAGTCGTATTTCCTGCAGTCAAGTTTGGTGCAATTAACCTTGACTTTGTATCTATTGTTTGCTCTTGTGTTGTTGCTTTTACAGGGTCCATCATAACGTCAAACAGTTGCTAAGTGAACAGTCACAAGTTGAAGACTACCTGTAGTATTTAAATAATATGGTCCAGTTTAGTGCTGGACCATTATTTAAAAAATTGTGCTGTGGAATATCTGTTAGGATGACTGAAGCTGCTAACGAGGCAGAGAGAAAGTGCAAGCCCCACCCACCCACGTTTCAATTGCTCTGGGAGACCAACCTTCACAATGATCAAACATACAAACACAGAGCAGAGAAATTAAGTGGCAGCTTCTCTCTATTTTCCTTAAATCCCACAAATGTAAAACTGCAACAATTATTTGGTAATGAATAGAAATGTTGGCATTATTAACACACCCATCTGCCCTTAGCAGAAGATACAAACCAGGTCAAAAACAAAGAACATAAGAGCTGTATAGGATGACCATTAGTTATTGAATGAAGGCAGTTTTTTAAAAAAATGGGATTTGGGTAGAATATTATCAAACATGGAAAGTGGTTGGATAAAAGGGATGGAAAGTAAGAATGGAATTTGTATTATTAAGCAAATTAAGTACCCAGACACATGATGTTTATTAAGCACTAAGAAATGTAATTAACAGAAAAATAATAAAATTTATTTTTTTTAAAAAGGGATTTGGGTGAGTTACTTCTAGCTGTGTCAGTTACAGGAGTTGATTCTTATACGTTTATCTCAAATGTTTTCATATCAGAAAAGACAACGGAAAACTATTTTCACATTGTTGTCAAGAAAATGTACGAGGACATGGCTTAAGAGTGGAACTTGACTTGAGGGAGCCTTTGTCTTTCTATATTTACACCATAAATTGGTCCCAACGTCCCTCCTGCGGTTGGTGTAGCAAAGCTATAACAAAGTAAATAGTAGTTTTTAAACATCTAATTAAAGCCACCAATTAAACCAAGAAACCAATCAGAGTAAGCAGTTAAATATCAAGACAACCATGAGATATTAGTGCCTTCACACAAGCTTACGTAAAATATAACTTCAAATGCCACACACCAAAAAAAAATCCCTCTCCTTGGGACGAAAAGCTTTCCATGGAAAAGTGCCTTTGCAACCCACTGCTCAAATCTTGCAACTAATGTGTGCAGGGAGTTTGTAAATGGCAATTTCCTCCAATGCCTGTTTCACTTGGAAGCTAGAACATAAACACAAGTGAAGGTGTTAAAATGGGCATTTAGTCTCAGCAGGTGATACCACCTGGCTCACCTTATTCTATGCTTGGAAGTGAAACAGGTCTGGGCTTGCAAGGGAGACACCAGTGAATGCCAGGGTAGTAGACTAGTCTGGGCAAAACAGCTGCAGAAGAAAAGGAATACCATTCCATAGAATTCCCACGGTAACTTCATGGATATGCCTGTGAAGTCATCAACCCTGCACAGAGGAAGCTTTAGCAATAAACACACTACCTGTCGGAAATCTTGGATGCTGAGAAGGCCGGTCCCATTTTCATCATAGAACTTAAATGTCCGCCTCATTGGCCGCCAGCAGTGCAGGATCTGGGGTTGAATCCTCATCATTGCATTGAGAAAGGTAGGGGACTGAGGTCCAGGAATATTCTGGCAGAGATGTGGAAAAGTGTGATGACCCAGGGTGTGACACAAAGGCAACACAGTCAAATACGCAATAAGAGTCCCTTTATTATCTCCAAGTTTGCCCCCAATGTCCAGGTTACCTTCAGGCTGGAGAAAAACTCTCCCAGAAACAGCCTTTGACGGTAGAAAATTCAGTCCAAAATAAGGTACACACAAACTGTAACTTAAAATCCAAACAAACCAAGCAAGTAATTAGTTTGGCAAGGCAGGAGCAGGAATTTCAGACTTGAAAGCACGGCAAAACTCACAGAGTGGGGAAGATGCCAGGAACACAGATAAGCCACGACGATACAAGATAAACTCACATTTGCTCCCAACAGCTTGCTGTGCGCAGCTTCCCTTTTTAAACACTGTGTTCCCAGCTGCAGCTAATGAAGGGAATCAGGGCCCTTTCCTCCCCCATAAGCCGTGCAACTCCCTTCTCTGCTCCTCCCTGCATGCCCTAGGATGAAGAGGGGGTGGGCCTGGGTCTTTCTCTGAATTTCCTCTCCCCTGCTCTGCTCAGCTGGATTTTGCCCTTTCCCAGTTTCTTCCACAGCCAACGGAGCCACAATCCCACTCCCTGTCAGCTGTTCGGCTTCCTCCTCTGAGTCAAATACCGACAGGAGCATGACAAAAAGTCAGTGATTGATCCACTTTCATTGGATAGATCAGCGTTCTTCAAACGTAGCAATTTGAAGATGGGCGGTGGACTGTTTCTTCCAACTAACACATTTTATTGAATGGCAGGGGTATTTGTAAACTGCAGGTCATTGCATCTTCATGCATATGACATTTGTGTGCATATATGGGTTAGTTGCCTACATGGGTCCATTTCAGTTTTGCAGTTATAATTCTCCTGTGGATATATTTCTTACATTGCAATCAGGATTGGGTCTGGATTGGTGTGAACAGCTGTACTACTTAGGGAGATAAAAGATGTGTAACTGGGGAAAACAAGCATCCCACACACCTCTTTTAGCACAGAAGTTCCCCCTTTCACCATGGAGTGCTTTACCTGGACTCGTGAGTTTTGGATCAGAAGTCTCTGCAGGGGAGGCACTTCCTGTTGTTTAAACAGCAGCACACAGCTTTGAAGGAAGTCACAGTATGCAAACTTGCCTACACTCTTAAAATCATATTTTGTTATCAGCTGCTGAATTTCTTCTTTGGTTAAATTCAAATGAAATTTCTCCATTATACCTGTAGGAACCAAGGTCGCAAGATAAAACCAACTGAACGGATTCAAACCTGCATCTGGAAGTGACAGATTGGATCTCTTGTGCTGAAATGTGTTGAAATACACAATTCACATGTCTTGTGTTGAAATACACTCAGCTGAATTTGACAATCCTCTCGAGCATTGTATGTCTACCTTAGCAGCTTTAAGATGTGTGGGGTTCAACTCCCAAGATTCCTGTGAGTCGAGGTCATCCATCTTAAAAGTTGCCAAAGTTGAGAAGCACTGGTCTTGAGAATTAGAATATTAATCAACCATATCACCCAAATACATCCTTAATTTGGACTATCTGCATTAGATAATTGGCAGGTGACTTCCTGAACTGGTTATGTCTGTAGGGTATGATAAAAAAAGCCAAGGTGGTAGCCACAGTTTTGCAGTCAACGGTCCCTCCCTCCCTCTCCCCCACTTCTCTCTGTGTATGTAATGCACATAAAAAGTGGAGCTTTGAACTCAGTATCTCAGTTGTCATCCTGACTTTGTCCACTCCTTGCAGACGTTCATGGAAATATTCCAGGAATTATGAAGGGACACCTAACTACAAATCGGTGCACTAAAGCTTATTTGTATGCATGAATTGTGCTATTTGCAGTTATGTGGATGAAAAAGAACATGGAAGCTACTTGGAAAAAAAAATCCAATCGTTTTTGTTTGATATGGTCAAGAGGAACCGGTTTGGTGCTCACATATTGAATATACTTCCCAGAGACAGACTGATAGAGGTCAATCTGGGTCTGATGCTGGTAGCTATGTGTCTTTCTTATCCCTGGAGATTGTATTGGTTTGATTTCACATGAAAAGACAACCACATGGAGAAAAGCTAAACTAGGCTAAAAAGAATCGGGATTATCAACCACTGGGAAATTGGGGATAATTTAAAAATTAGACTACACCTGATGCACTCAAAATGATAGCGATTTTTAAAAAATATTTTTTTCTTTTGTTTCTGTGGGTAGCAGCGTGATAGGAAGATTGACAGTAGCAAAAAGAGTAATATATCTCTATTAAAATTCCAAGCCTGCTCCTAAGTGGAATAATTGATCAATCAAAGAACTCAGGAGGCTTCAGAATTATGAGGAGAAGAACCAACACACCACTCCTTTGGTGCCCATTAATCTCCATGCCACATCTAATTTTAATTAAAACACTTTTAATTAAAAGATAATTAAAGAACTTTGCTTATTTCCAAGGCTGCTTATTGTCCCACATGGACGCATGCATTTTTGGAAACAAACAGTGGGGTGTGGCTGGTGCCTAGATGCCTAGGTAAAAGGAAATAGACCGGGATAAACACTGGTGAGTGCCTAATACAATTTTTTTTAATGTGCAAGGCAACATCATGGCTGCCATCTTGATTTTTTTGACCCCTATGTGTGGATGCCCCTGATAGCAGCCTTTTGGTGAGAATGTCCAAGACCACCACTATAAAGCCTTAGCAAGACCATACCTGGAACACTGCATCCAGTTTTGGTCACCACACTATAAAAAAGATGTTTAGACTCTAGAAAGAGTGCAGAGAAGAGCAACCAAGATGATTAGGGGACTGGAGACCAAAACATATGAAGAACGGTTGCAAGAACTGGGCTTGGCTAGTCTAGTGAAGAGAAGGACCAGGGGAGACAGGATAGCAGGCTTCCAATATTTGTGGGGCTGTCACAGAAAGGAGGAAGGGGTCAAGCTATTTTCCAAGGCACCTGAAGGCCAGACAAGGAATAATGGATGGAAACTGAACAAGGAGAGATTCAACCTAGAAATAAGAAGGAATTTTCTGACGGTGGGACAAATCAACCAATGGAACAGAAGTTGCCTTCAGAAGTTGTGAGAGCTTCATCACTGGAAGCTTTCAAGAAGAGACCGGACTGCCATCTGTCAGAAATAGTGTAGGGTCTCCTGGGCAGGGAGGTTGGACTAGATGACCTACAAGGTCCCTTCCAATTCTGTTATCCTGTTACCTGCCTACAAGCAAAGCAGCCACATTTGGCTTCCACTTTCAAATTCTAAAAGCTGAACGAGATAATTTAAAAAGACAACCAACCTAAAATATCTTCTACTGAGATTTCTCCTGAGCGCTCCACATCCTTCTCTCTGCATTCTTTCAGGATTTCTTTCCAACAGTGTTGAACATTTTTCCGAATTTTACTTTCAATTGGCTGGCAATTCAGAATAGGTGGAGAGGGAACACCTGCTGTGTAAGGTCTGCCGGCACCTGGGCCCTAAAGAGAGGACAAAGTTCTCAGCTTGCCATTCAGAGTTCAAGGGGATGAAATGTAACTGCTTTCTAAATCTGTGGTGTAATAAAATTGAGGATAGTGATTGGAAATTTTCTTTTTATTTGAAAATCACAATGATTACAGATAGACCTCACTTAACCATCATAATTAGGACTGGCACTCCAATACTAGGCAACACAGTTGTTATGTGAAGCCTCACACGACTGCAACAGTGTTATGACACCACTTCCACTGTTAAGTGAATTGTGGCAGTCATTAAGTGAGACATCACATGACCATGACTTGCAATTTTACTGCCATTAACTCTGCTTCTCAGATGTGGTGGTGAACCATGCAAATGACAATCATGTGACTGTGGGAGCAACGGAACAGTCATAAATATGAGGACCAGTTGTAAAGTTATTTTTTTTGGCACTAATAAACCTGGAGTTCAGTGGTGGGATTCAAATTTTTTATGACTGGTTCTGTAGGTATGGCTTGGAGGGCGTGGCAGCAGAAGGATATTGTAAAATCTCCAGTCAGAGGTGGTATTTTCCGGTTCTCTGAATCACTCAAAATTTCTCCTACTGGCTCTCCACAACTGGTCAGAACCTCCTGAATATCACTTCTGCTGGAGTTGGCAAATATTTGGATGAGAGAACTTGGAACAGGAACCTGGACTGCTGGGTAAATTGGATAGTAAATAAGTTAAAAAAAACAACAGGAAATGTCAGAATAATCATGTGGTTACCAAGAAAATTAGATGGCTGTGTCCAAGAAATCACTGGGAATCGAACTCTACTCAAAGGAGATGTGACTTCACTATTTCTGAAGTTCTGACATAAAATCTCTCATGTCTTTGCTAGCTGCCTTCTCAATTGTGAAAAGAAAATGGAATCATACCTTAAAACCTCAAGAAAGGAAGATAGCAATAGCACTTAGACTTATATACCACTTCACAATGCTTTATCGCCCTCTCTAAGCAGTTTACAGAGTCAGCACACTGCCTCCGACAATCTGGGTCCTCATTTTACTGACCTCGGAAGGATAGAAGGCTGAGTCAACCTTGAGCCAGTGAGAATTGAACTGCTGGTGGTCAGCAGAATTAACCTATAATACTGCATTCTAACCACTGTGCCACCACGGCTCTTTGAGGGCATCCAAACTGCCAAAGAAAGCAAATGCTTTAGTCTCGTTTCCAGATCAGAAGAAGGACATGACATACTCACCTTCTTTGGAGATTGAGGTTGAGTTGCTGTTTTGGGTCTTAAAGGAACCCGTGATTCAGGTTCAGTAACCAAGGGTGGTTTGGTGGGATTCTCAACATTGGTCGTATCAGACATTCCTCCTCCTTCAGAGCTGAAATTCCTCAAAAATCCAATATATTTCAATCTCCCACTCAGGTCAAGAGGTACTGTGTTCCAGAGATTTTCGAACTAGGCACACAAAAATAGATCTATTAGCATATATGAAGTCAGGCATTTGGCACATGATAGTAGAGGAGTCAAGCAAAAATTAATTTCTCAAGCAGATAATATAGGCCAACAAAACAAGCTTTCCCCAACCACCTGAGGTGGTAGAAAACTTCTCTGTGTTGAAGAAAATTCATCTTCAATTGAGGGGTGTCCATGGAATTTGGTAAAAGATGGCAAGATGGTGTATGTGGGTCCTGTCCTCTTTCTACTTGCATCAATTATGTAGTTGCACCTGCCATCTTGACGTTTGGAGAGGATGCTCCCATAGGAGGCACAGCCTTAAAAAATGGGATGGAGTAAAAAAAAGAAGAGGCCTGAGTTCAGATGGACAGGGAATGGTCCTACAGTGGGCCAGCGGCAACTCTACCAGTTGCTGACTCCCTTAAGGGTAAATCAGAATTTTCATTCAAAAGGTTGCATTGTATTTTCAAATACAAACAGTGATGGATTTCAAAGTAGTTTACCACTGGTTCGGTGGGGATGGCTTGGTGGGCATGCTTTGTGCCTGCTCACACACTTTGCACGTACACACGCACCAAACGCATGCTTTATGCACGCGCAGAGGCTGTCCTACTCACTTCCTGCCATCCTGCACGTTCTCCGTGTCTCCCACAGCTGACGTGCGGCACTCTGCTGTGCCGCGCAAAGCCGCTGTGCTTCCAAAGCAGGACATGAAGGTCAGTATGGGAGCCCAGGTGGGCTGGCCCAACAGCAGATCGTCTGAGAGAACCGGTCCAGCCTCAGCTGATCTTCGGTGCTACCAGCTCAGCAGAACTGGGGCCGAACCGGTAGCATCTCACCCCTGATACAAAGCTTTGTTTTTCCACTTGGATCCAGTTTCAACCTGTCTCAGCAGCAGGTTGGCAACAAAATGGAGGTCCTGTTGCAAGGATATGCCCTTTACAAAGAAATAGCAAGATGGTCTGCAGATGAGGCCTAAAATTCTGAGGCAGTGGGAATATCTAATGAAAGTATGACAGATGAGGAGGGGAAAACACACCATATCTTTGTTGCTTCTTGGGGTTTGTTTGTTTTTTAACTCAAGAACAAGAAAGCCCCTCCAAGGATCTATAAATAAAGGGCCTCCAAGAGAAGCTAGGAGCTTGCCTGGGGACTCAGTTGGTGAATTAGCTCAGTGGTTGAAACGTCCAAGATCCCAACCTTGAAGGCTTCAAGAGACAGGACATACAGTTGCAAACTAAACTTCACCTCAGAGTTAAGCTTTGTTCTTAAGCAATCTTTCTGGCCAAGTAACCTGGCTATCTACAACGAATAGAAGACTGGTGGAATAACGAATTCAGCCTGGCCATACTGTCATTTCCTGTTTTCCCAGTTCCTAATCCGCTCAGCTTCTCGACTGCATCTTCCTGCTACCTCAATGTTTGTCCTGGGATGCCGCCTTGCTGCTTTTGAGACTTGATCCTCTGTGATATCAGACAAAAAACCTGAGCAAAACTGTTAAGACTGAAGGCCAGTTTTGTTCTTGCTGCTTAATTTTACATTCTGGAAGTGAGACAGTATGTGTCTGCAGGAAATCCTTTCATCTTTTACTGGTCTACCCTAATGGGATTCCTCTTTAAGTCCCTTTGGGAAAGAGAAAGAGGGAAAAACGGTGCTTGGGTTGGATCCAGAAATGGAATAAAAAGTTTGGTTGTTCCTTTGTTTTGGTTCTTGGATTGACTGTCTGAACAAGTGAAGTGCTGGATCAGTGCAGGAAAGCCTAGGATCAAGGTATTAAGTCATCACCGTGGATATGCACACATAGAAATTCAGTGCCAATTTCAATGGCTTGTATTTCTCATGCGGTATACATTCCACGAAGGGTTAAAGATTTGTTCTGGAGTTTGAACAGGCAAGTTAATGTTTTGTTTTTCTTTAATGTACATGCATGCTCCCGTCTACACACATACACACACTTTGCTCAACTTCCTGACATGCCACAGAATTAGACCTTAGAGAAAACTTCATCACCTCTAAGGCTTTGATTTGCATGTGGCAAGTTGCAGGAAAACATCAAAGACCACAAGTACATTTTGAATTTCCTTTTAACTTTCCCCCATTGGACACATGTCTACCATATTATAAATTATACAAAGCAAAGCACACTGTGCTACTTAGAGGACTTCAAAATGTGTTTTTTTTTTCAAGCATCAACTGAATATTATCATTGCTTTGAGTTCCGGGTTAACTATCAGTTGAAGGTTGCCAGCCTGGGAAATCTATCAACAGTGTATAACAGACAAGATGAAGTGGAAAACTTCACACACATCCAGCAGAAGGTAGTTCTGAAGAAGTGTCAACAAAAGTGGAGGAACTGGGGACTTGGCCTCAATCAGTTTCAGACTTTTTGAGTTCTTGGTATATTTAAGACTAGTTGACCCCTATTTAATTGAGTTCCAGTTATAATTTTCATACAGGGTGCCAGGATTCATTAACATGAAGCAAAAAATGTTAACCGCACCAAACTTGATTGCAGGAAATATGACTTCAGCAATAGAGTGGTCAATGTCTGGAATACTCTACCCGACTCTGTAGTTTCTTCCCCAAACCCCAAAAACTTTAACCTTAGACTGTCTACTATTGACCTCACCCCTTTCCTAAGAGGTCTGTAGGGGGCGTGCATAAGCGCACCAACGTGCCTACCGTCCCTGTCCTATTGTTTCTCTTATTCTTTTATTTTTCATATATGTACCCATTTCATGTATTCACAACTATGTATACACTTATACTTATCTTGTAAACAATTGGCAAATCAAAATAAATAAATAAATAAATAAATGAATGAATGAATAAATAAAGGGCTGCTTTCTGAACAGGAGGTCTATTAACAAAGAAGGCTTCCCGAAGACCTTCTATCCATTGTCTGCTCTTGCCTCCTTCCTGTCAGCCTCCACTGGGCTTGAAGTGGATTATATTTCTGGCACATCTTAGTACCAGTTGTGATTCTTTCATTGGCTCATTCCTTAGGCCAGAGATGCTGCAAAAGTAACAGCATCTCAACCTCCTTGGAATCAGGGGACCAAAAGCTCAGAACAATGGCTGATAATAGGCCCACATGAGATCCACCTTCTCTGGGTCAGGTTCTTCTTACAACCATAAGCTCAAGAATCAAGAATCGGTTTTGCTCATGAAACCAGGGAGGAGGGGCCAGAAAGGGAAGTGCACTTATGACCGGTGATTTCAAGAATTATAAATAAATAAAAAATAATAATAATAATAATAATAATAATAATAATAATAATAATAATAATAATAATAATAATAATAA